ATCAAGAAATTTATGAACCTGTGCAACAAATTCAAGATTACAATAAGAAACCATTACAAACTTCTCAAATTACAAATATTGAATCACAAGATTTACCAATTAATATACCTTTCAATAAAAGTAGTAAAGAGGAGGCTCTGAAGTTTAATAATTGTTACTTTCAAAATGTTAACTTTTACTTTAAATAATTTTATTTAGAATTATAAATAATGCTTATATTAATATAATATTTTTAAATGCTTTTTATATATCAATCTTATTAAAATTATATTAAACTTTTTGCGATACGATTTTCGTTTGATATATCACGGTAATTGCGTAATATTGATATTTTCACGGAAAATTCAACTCCGATAGTGAATCTGGTAATATATCAATATAAAACATCACAGGCGAACAATTAGTAAGCGGGTAATATAGTCTATTATTACCATAGCAACTTGTAGAAAGTATCTAATCTACTAATTACTAGTTAACCTTTTTCTTACTTATATAAAAGCCCTAAGTTAAAGTTGTGAGATGGTATCTATTACAGACCTATCAGCAAAGGCTAAGTTTCTGTCAATCTCTGATTTATTTGCATTCACTTGTTCTTTAATCTTAGTATTTGAGCATAATTAATATCAATCGACAGATTGATTGATCAGTATCTAATGTTTATTAATCTAAATACTCATGTATTCAGTTACATATGAAATTCTTATGAAAATCATCTAGTTTTATGTCTCAGCTAAAGCCTAAACCTATGACTATTGTAGTGTAACCTACAATAGGAGCTCAATTATTGCCAATTGAACTAGGAATGCTAATCTCTTTTTGCTGACAAATTATTTCTCTTTTGAAAGTTGTTGAATCAATTTTATGTCAAGCTTTTTTACACAAATATAATTACACCTTTTGACACAAAAAATGAAAATATAACTAGAAGAAAGTTATCTTTTAATAATTTTATGAATAAATAGAAAGATCATTCTATAAAAATTAATCGTTCAATTATGAATGATAAATTGAAAGAATTTGATAAGAGGAAAAACAGAAAGTACTAGCTATTCAATATGTACTAATAATTTAGAAAAGATAGCTTATAGAGGACTTAAAGAATTATATAGGTAAAATAACTTGATTAGATCATTAAAAATTAAATTTACAAAATTAAAGGTCAAGTTAGATGCAGTATCAAAAATCAATACAGATGAATGGACCAATTAAAATAAGGATTTATTTATGGAATATTATTGATAAAGAAAGTTTAAGCATAAGTAATAAATTAGCAACAAAGAATTAGTTGATACTATTTGACAAGCATTTTACAAAGTTTTAAATGTTTCACTTCCTAAATCTCTCATATTTAAATAAATTATTTTAAGAATCTGAGAATAAAATTATATATGAGACATAAATTTACTTTTAAATTAAATGACACAAATATTATAATCAAGCAATGTCTAATGATTTATCAGATTTAAACAATAATTGATTTATTATTAGATAATGAATTTTGTCCAAATAACTCAGAACTTAGAGAATCAATTATAAAATTATTTGTGATATATATAATGAATAGAAATTAATAAATTTTCAGATAATAATAAGCTGAATTAGTCAAAGCATATAGAAGTTGAATATAAAAAGCAAGATATCTTAAGAAACACATTTGAAAAGTTTTGCAAACTAATTGAGGAAAAGTTTTCAGATAGGTAAGTATTGCATTTATTATGCATTACTTTTTTTATTTTCATTTATTTTACTTTGACTTTTTTATATTTATTTATAATTATATTTAATGTATTAAATATAAGTGAAACTGTTAATTATAGAATATTTTGATTTTATGCATTATTTAACTTTATATTAACATTTAAATAAATTTTAATATATTTTTCAGAACAATTTTTTTTGGTAATCAAAATCACAATAAATTATGAAATCATCATTATACAGAGGGTGATCACGAGTACTCAAACAATAAGTATTTTTTGTTTATTCACTTTATTTACATATTTATATATATTTCTAATTTAAGCATTTGTTTAGAATATAAATGGATGTCAATTACAATAATAACAAATAATTTTCTTTCAAATAAAAATGATTAAAACAAAAGAATTGAATGCTAAATAATATGGAGCAATTCTTTACAATCATAAACAAGGTGATTCATATCAAAAAATTGCTGACATTTTATAATGTGATAAAATAACTATCCATAATATGATAAAATGTTTTAAAGAAACTGGTTTTGCAATACCAAAAAATGTTATGGTCTAAAGTCACTTTTTAATTCAAATGCATAATCTTCACTCAAAAATATTATTACACAAAATTTGAAGCATTGTCGTCTTATCACTCAAAAAATTCAAGAATTATAGACTAAAAAAAAAGAAAGTTTCAACTATTACAATTCATCAGACTCTTAAAAAAGTCAGCTTACGTTCATGTATTGCCTCTCTAAACTATTAATTTCTAAAAATAATAAAGAAAAAAAATTGGTTTGGGCATTGGAATGAGAAGATTGGATAATTGCAAAGTGGAAGAAAGTTGTATGATCTGATGAATCAACATTTAGCCAATTTTCATAAGGTCATAGCTTATGTGTGTGGCGTATACCTAGAAATGAGAAAAGTTCCAAATGGAGCGACTTAGAATCAGTTTTAGAACTGAATGTTGGTTCTGCTTTTAAGTCAAACTGAGAAGTTAAAGTGAAATAATCAGTTCTAAGAGAACTGACTCTCTTGAGTCAGTTCTATTTAAATTTATAATATTAGTATTTAGTTATTTTAAAATAAAAACAAATAAGATAAAAATAAAAAAATAATTTACGACTTGTAATTTTTGTAGCACAGTAATTTTAATCAATAATAGCAATTTTTATAACAGTAATTTTGTAGCACCAATTTTTGTAACAATAATATTTGTATCGGCTATTTTTAAAATAGTAATTTTGTAATAGCAATTGCTAAAATAATAATTTGTAATGTCAATTTTTTTTTAAAAATGATAATTATCGAAAAAAAATCTAAATAATTCTTACGCTTCTTTTTGTTAAAATGGAAGAACAAAAAGAAGAAGCCTCTTCTGAAAAAATATTAAGTAGTGATAAATTTAATCCTAACCAACTTGAGAATAATGAAGATGAGTGGGTAATTAAACTTGATGAAATTAATCCTAATGAATCAGCTAGTAATATTTTAGAGACTAGTCAAGCTTTAAATTCAGAAATAAACATTTTATTATACTGATCAAAATCAAAAAATCAGACATGTGAAATTCAACTTAAAATCAGCCTAAATTCAGCCTAAATTCAGCAAATTATCAAAAATTAGCTTAGTCGATTTGCATATATCAGAAATTAGCCAAAAATCAGCCAAAATTTGATTTATCTTATTTATAACCGATTGGCATACTTATAGCTAATTGGTATATATCAAAATTCAACCTATCTTATTTATAACCAATTGACTTCTGATTAGAACAATAGGGTATTATTGTACCTAAGGAATAATGATATTATTGTATTTAAGGAATGATGATTTTATCATTCTTAAGAAATGATGCATTTATCGTACCTTAAGTAAAATGATTGTTTTATCATTTCTTAGGAACGATAGTTTTATCATTCCTTAGGAACGATTATATCATCATTCCTTAGGGACAATTATTTTATCATTTCTTAGGAACAATAATATTATCATACCTAAGGAACGATGGTATTATTGTACCTAAGAAATGATGATATTATTGTACTTAAGGAATGATGGTATTATCATTTCTTAGGTATGATAATTTTATTGTACCTAAGGAATAATGGTATTATCGTTCCTTAGAGATGATTGTTTTATTATTCCTTAGAGACAATAGTATTATCGTACCTAAGGAATGATCGTATCAAAAGAATGATGGTTTTATCATACTTAAAAAATGATGATTTTATTATTCCTTAGGGATGATTGTTTTATTGTACCTAAAGAACAATGATTTTATCATTCCTTAGGGACGATTGTTTTATTATTCCTTAGAGACAATGATATTATTGTACTTAAGAAATAATGGTATTATCGTTCTATAGGTATGACAATTTTATCATACCTAAGGAATGATGGTTTTATTATTCTTTAGGTAAGATACATTTATCGTTCCTAAAGAATGATAATTTTATTGTTCTTTAAGGATGATGGTATTATTGTATCTAAGGAACAATGATTTTATCATTCACTAGGAACAATAGTATTATCATATTTAAAGAACAATAGTTTTATCATTCCTTAGATAAAATGCATTTATCATTCCAATGAACCAAACTTTTGGATTAAACTGATTTGCTAAAATAATATTAATTTAATATACTATTCAAGTTTATTTCTGATATATAGGAATAATTATATAAATAAGCTTAATTTTTTAACTTTTTAAAAAATAATTTCAATTATTTCCAAATTTTCTTTTTTTACATTCTACCAAAATCCTGAAAAAAAATCGTCTCAAAAACAAAAATACCTAAATTAAATTTTAGTCAATTTTCGTCTTTACCTATCAAAATCAGATGAAGAAAAAACTGTATTTTAGTCAACTTTTCAAAAATAAACTGATTTTTTTTACTTTTTATAATAGAAACATGCTTCCAACCATCAAATTAGACGAAAATTAAGTTGAATTTTTCTGATTTTTTTACTTTTTATAATAGAAACATGCCTTCAACCATCAAATCAGACGAAACTTAAGTTGAATT